AATAAATCTGCTCACCTGCAATTTATAATGGCGCATTGTAGTCACCTTCGTGCACGAAAGTTCGTTCAATCTCAGCTGCTCAACATTTTCAGTTATTTGCTGTTGTATCACCGATTTTCAAAATGCAAATGATCTGTTTATTTTCAAAGAATAGTTTGTTTTGTTATTGTTTGGTTGGTGTCTTATATGAAACTGCGACATTGCGCAATTTATTGGACAGACTTGTTTAAGATCACACAGCGTAATTTGGGTGGCATTTTCTTTCGTATTTTTAAATCATCTTTTTATTTTTGACTATCTGTAAATTTAGTTTCCTGCTCTTAATTGGGAATACATACTTGATGGTTTTAAATGCTGCTGAAATTAAGTGCTGCTTGACAAGCCTATATTGTGTATGTATGTGACGTCACTGAAGGCCTAAGGTTGAAATGCACGGCCCGCCACTGGTATCAATGCTAATGCACATGTGTCTGTTACTACCCTTGTTTTCAGTATTAGCAGCAGAAGAGGACAATCTATTTGTATAGATGAATACTGTAAAAAAACACTTAAAATCGGACAGTATTAGGCCATCTTAAACTATGACACCAAAGGCTGACCTGATATATTAAAGCCTACAGATTCTGAAAATGGCAACAGTTTTGACTCTGGAACAAATTATTCCAAAACAATCGACCTCAATGGGAAATTAATTTTAAAAGACAACCAAATTTCAGTTGGACTAGTGTCACACAACCCAATGCGATTGAATTTTGATGGACTGCAGATCTGTTATTTAGAAGCTGTGCCAGTTTTGAGAGTCCAATCGATTTTGAACATAGGGAAAATAATACTGTATAGCTAAATAATACAGCAGCTTTCAGAGTATAATTATCAGACTCTAAGCTATATTATACTATAGTAGAGCAACAGGACTTTTTGAATGATTCAGATTTGGGTCATTTCACCTCAGATCACCTCAAAAAAAAACATTTCAAAATCAATTTTGTGTTGGGTCAAGTCATAGCATGGAAAAACAAATGCCAGATTTGGATTGCTTATGATTTCCTCTTTCCACGGATACCTGGGTTTGATGAAGAAAAAAAAAAAAAAAAAAAATCAAACTGCAATATGTTGGAAACCGATGATCCAATCAACCTGAAATTTGAAAATTTGGCTTGCCATGCTATGACATACCCACACAATTTCAGCAAAATCTGAAAAAGTAGGCTTTCAGTAGTGGAGTTGAACTTATGGTATGGAATTACCTGCTCCAGGATTAAGTGACAGCTTGAGGTTTGTACACTGGGACATGACAACAGCTTTTTGTGCATGCTCAGAAAGACAAAGGTGTTTTACTTACACATATGCAGACCACATGGGCCAACGCCACCGCATTGCCAAATACAGTAAAATAGGAGTGGCTGAAGATCACCTGCAGCTTCTGCAATACCACTGAGTTATACTGTGGTGCGGGAGGGTGCTGCGAAGAACACAGGTCTATGAACAATATTCAACTGCCAACTAAAAAGTATTATCCTTGTGCTCTTTCTCATTCCGTTTGAAATGCTGTACCTCGTTTATACGGTCTTTATCCAGCTCATCAAATATCTGTTTAAACTGCTCTCTATTCATAAAGCCTTCAGTCTGATACTGACGTGTCTCCTGAAACAAGCATCAAGCAAAAGTGAAAGTAAGATTGAGAGGTTGTATCACTTTTGAATTTTGAATTCATTATACGTCATTGGTGTCCCTCAAGGGGAATTTCAACTCACATTCCAATTTGGGGTTTTGGTTAGGTTTACTTCAACAAAGGATTTTATTTTTAAACAAACATTGTGACCCCAGTTTCTCTGTAGCAGCAGCAGCGACTCTACAGTGCTGAGAATAAATATTTGCCCTCATCTTAAATTCCTCTTTTTGCATACTTTCCCCACTCCTAAAAACCTTCCAATGGGGAAATAATACAAATTTGAATAGAAGGCAAATACGTTTTCAGGCACTGTACATCACGCTGACAGGACAGTTATGCTGAATTTAAAGAACATGGTTCAAGTGTATCGATCGGTGTACACTAAATGTAGCCACAATGAGCTCTGACAGAAGTGATGGCCTCTCTGTAGTAGCTCTGCATCTGGATCCTGGACATCACTTGTAGCACAGCATCAATTGGCACACGTTCCCTAAAATTAAATCAATGTCAATACTTTTTTGCAGTTAAGGTACATTATCTGTGCATTTAAAAGTGGGGTATAACTTCAAAGAAAAGAACCTCTGCATCGTTTACAAACAGACTTTGAGTAGGAATACAACATACAATTTCAGACCCATAAGCAATTTTTGATGAGTTGTTTCATATTTGAAAATGCCTCACGTATGTGAATGATGTATGCAGAAATTTAGTTCAGTGCAGTCATCGCTTTAGCATTAAACCACAAATCATCATCGCCATGGATTGAAAGAAAAAAAACGGTCTAAGCCTTGACAAAGCCATTAAGTAATCAGAGGTGAATAATTTTAAGTACATTGTGTGCCTGAGTATGCTCATTTACCCAGCAGCATTCTCAGCATCATGAGAGCGAAGGACTTGGAAGGCTGCTCGGATTCCCAGACGCCTTCTATTTATGGATGTTTGGACTGACATCTGGATGATAAACATGACAGGCTAACTGTTAAAATTTTTGAGACTCCAATAAAAGAAACGAAAAAAAAACCTTTTTTGTACAAGCCGCCAACCTGAATCAAGTCTGGCCTGTCATGCTTGGCTCAGACTGAACATGAAATATCACGCCGCCTTGCGTGTCCCGCAGCATCAGTCAGACAGCTAATGACAAATGTTTGCACAATCCTTGACATTGTTTGGTTGGTTCAAAATGAATCGCAACTCAGCCATGCAGCATCACCACAAACATGGTGTGGCTATTGGCCTAACATTTCCAAAACCCATACAAAAAGGGAATAGGAGGGGAGTTAGGCCTCAATTTGCTTGGCAATTACGGAATTTAAATAACTAACATCTGAGGTTTGTCAGAAAGGTTCCAGGACTGATCGCACAATGGACATATTCAAATTAATATCCAAACTATGAGTTATCACCACTGAAATAACATCCCTGAAGTCTTAACGCATGTTCACAGCCCTCTCTGCCACAACTTCATACATTCCTGGGGGATTTTTCAGAGGTTTTCCCATGTGCCATTGTCATGATCATTTTGAGGTCATCCACCTCTTCAACACAGATCCCTCAAGATTGCTCAATTTTTGGGAAAGAAGAAAACTCACACAAAGCTAGGTCGGGTGAGTATGATGTTTGCTCCATCACTGAGGTGTTCTTCTTGGCCAGGAACTGTCGGATGTTAAGGGCATTTAGCTAGCTCATTGTCGTGGTGAAGCAGTCACAGCTGTCACCTATTCTCATGCAATGAACTAAGGAAAATGCCACGGGAAATCCTTGTGTTGGTTCACTGTCTGACCCACACTGAAGGGTAAAAGTCAGTTTGCATTTCAAATCTATGACATCGGTCCGAGAATCTTTCTAAAATACCTAATATGTAGAAGGAAAACACAATTCAAAATGTGAACATTTTATTTTGATTTCTATTTGCAATTCAATTTAGTTGGTAATTAATTAGGTCCATTGTTAGCTGCCCAAGTGGGTTTCTAATTTCAGGACGACTCAAAAGGTCAAAAATATTTCAAAAGGTGGCACCAAAGAGAATGCTCGTGATAAGGAGCTGAATCGTCCTGCACCCTTCACTTCCTTTGTAAAAAGTTGTATTTTATGGAATACTTTGCATCCTTTACTTTTATTAAATTTATTTGGAGCAGAGTTTCAATAAGTTGTTACAAGTTAGACATTTGAACATATTCCTGATTACGTTTTGCCTGTTGACCTTGATAACTTTTGGCATCAACTGTGTGATTTGATTGTTACAATTGTGTAAAAAAAAAAACATTTTATATATATATATATATATATATATATATACCTAACGCCATTTGTAAAACGAGAAACACAACACATAAAAATGCAAATGAGAATGCATGCGCAGAGTAGCTCGTAAAAATGAATTACCCCCTTTCAGTGATACACCTCTGCCAAGAATACACGGTTGACCTCGCACTTTGAAGGAATCTCTCGTCAGTTATTAAATGTTCCCAAGCTATGGCACCGAATGGCACAACAAAAGTCAAACTTTCAGGTCATTTTTGCACATATGTGAGGACAAATGCATGGGACAAAATGTCTGTGAAGATGAGGGAAAAAAATATTGATGATGACGTAAGAACAGGAAATGGAACTTATCTCAACAGTGTCCTGGCTGCTCAGTACAACATAAACAATACACCATTTCGTAGAGGGCTCGTCCTCCTTATGGTCATCCTCAGCTGTCTTTGGGCAAGAGGCGAGTGGTTAGCTAGTGACTCATCGATCTGTGGTTTGGGGGTTGATTCTGAGCATTCCTAACTCCCACTTACTAAAAACATGCATGTTAGGTTCAATTTCGATGACACATTCTCTATAGGTGTGAGATCGGCACCCAGAGTGGAAACTAGAGTCGATTAACAAACACATTAAAATGGGTTATCATCCGGGGTTATTTTACGATCATACTGAGCATGCCCTTATGCCACAGAGAAAATTTCTATTCCTGAGTCATCATAAGCGGCGGCTGGAAGCAGGAGTGAAAGCTGTTAAAAATAGCCACAATGACGACGATGACAAGAAGAAGCTGACGTGAGCAAGAAACCTGCTGCACAACTTCACGTCATCCATCCATTTTTGTTATCCGCATTTCCTCACGAGGGTCGCGGGCGTGGTGGAGCCTATCCCAGCTGTCTTCGGGTAGTAGGCGGGGGGAGACAACCCTGCACGGTTTGCCAGTCAATCGCATGGCACACATAGACGAACAAACATTGCCGCTCACAATAGGGACAATTTCGAGTGTTCCATTAACCTGCCATGCATGTTTTTCGGATGTGTAAAGAAACCGTAGAACCCGGAGAAAACCCACGCAGACACTGGGAGAACACGCAGACGCCACACAGGAGGCAGAATCGAACCCTGCACCTCTGAACTGTGAGGCGGATGTGCTAACCAGTCGACCACCGTGCCGCCACTTCACATGACTGTGGACGGTATGACAAACGACAACTTCTCAGTTAGGTACATGTGTAGATGATGTGAGCGAGTATATGAGGCCAAGTCAGGAAGCCCTCTCTCTCTCTCTCTCTCTCTTGCAGTACAGTACCTGTTCTTAGTAAGAGCGTTTTTTCTTCTCACACACACTCACACACACACAAACACACCCTGTGTCTGTATGACTCATCAGTGAGACAGCGGTAGCTTTCTTTGGATCCAGGGTGATAAACTCCCATCAAAACAATCTCACCTCTGTCTTGACATCTCTGCCTGAAATAGTACTG